TGTTTTTCTTTCTTTCATTTGAACTGAAGCATTTTGCTTTGAATTATGTTAAATTCTTTGTTAAAATTTTATTTCCTAGTTTTTCCAAATACATAAATAACATGTAAAATATATTTTAATGGAGAGGTAGATAGAGAGATAGAGTTAGGTAGGTAGGTAGAGAGAGAGAGAGATCCTTGAGCCTGTTGCTTAATGAGTACACTGGAGATAAAAGAATGAGGAATAATGTTGATCCTTGTCATCTAGTGAAAACAGTATATAAATCACTTAAAACTATTTTCAAAACTCTTCAAGGATGTTACGTATGGAAACATGGGCAAGTATACTGAAATTCTGGACAAGCAGCTTTACTCAATTTCACAATTCCTCAAGGTGGAGTTGTATTTGAAGATTGTTTCTTTTTTTAAAAATATATATATTTGTTGATTTCAGAGAGGAAGGAAGAGGGAGAGAGAGATAGAAACATAAGTGATGAGAATAATCACTCAGCTGCCTCCTGGATGTCAAGGATGTTACGTATGGAAACATGGGCAAATATACTGAAATTCTAGACAAGCAGCTTTACTCAATTTCATAATTCCTCAAGGTGGAGTTGTATTTGAAGATGGTTTCTTTTTTTAAAAAAAATATATATTTGTTGATTTCAGAGAGGAAGGAAGAGGGAGAAAGAGATAGAAACATCAGTGATGAGAATCATCAATCGGCTATCTCCTGCATGCCCCCCTTTGGGGAGTGAGCCTGCGGCAGAGGCATGTGCCCCCACTGGGAATCAAACCGCGACCTCCTGGTTCATAGGTCAATGCTCAACCACTGAGCCACACCAGCTGGGCTGACAGATTATTTCTAAAGAAAGTTCAAGACTTAGAATCTGGTTATTAATTACTCTCTTGCTAATCCTCGCAAACTGTTGTGTTACTTGATAAAGCCTGTTAACTTAATTACTTTCTTTCAGCAGTGTGTGGTTGGCTAGTGCCAACAGCAAGGTTGCATAATGAATGCATTGTTAATGTGAGCGGAGGACTCTTGAACTCTTGGTCACCATTTTGCTGCTCCTCTTGAGAAAGAAAATAAGCACCCCAAGGACTCAATTTACAGTTTTCGCCTATCTCAGGAAAACCTGGGCCTCCCTCCACCGTGACTGCACACTGGAATCACACACGGAGATGGACAGCAGGGCAGTCTGGGTCGCACCCCAGAGACTCTGCTGTCACTGGCTTGGTCTGAGGCCTGAGCACAGAAATGTTAAAGCTCCTCTGTGATTCTGGTGTGCAGGCCAGGTTGGGATTCACTGCACACGAATGCCCCAGCACGCACTTTGCCCAACTTAGTAACTTACTTAACATCATGAATTGCTTGCTGTGTTTCTGAAAATTCTCACGTATACATACTCTGGCACTAACTGCTCTGAGTGGAAGGGTATTTTGGCTTGCTTCCTAATAATACCCAGGGACCAACACGAAGCACTTAAGGCCAGGGAATATTTAATTAACCTGTTAATAACTTAACCTAATCAAAAAGCCATTTTTAAAATGAGACTTTCAGTAAACTAAGTTCTCCCTATATTAGAGCTTAAATCCTTCTATCTTTCTACCTTATTTCTTACAAAACATCTCATTTCTTCATCCTGAAAAAAATCTCTAATTACAGGGACTATCGGTAAGATTAGAAATATGCAGTTTGGATCTTTCATGCTAAATGGAATCTCAGCCACGTCTAGTCACATAAAACTCATCTAATTTTATTCTCCTCCACATTTGGTGCTAACTAAATGAAAACCTGAGGGCTAAAAGGGAGCTCTGGTCCTTCCCTATGTGAATCTTCATTTCTCTAGAACTACACTTGTAGGTGTAAGCTTTCTCGCCTAAATCAATTTGCAGACATGGACATTGCTAGTGTCATTTGACCAAAAAAAACACAGAGAGGTGAACAGCTGGTTTGATTTTTTTTTAAAGACCTATTTAGTTCTCAGGGAACCTAGCATTCCAAGCACTGATTTCCAAACCAACACTCACATTTTCCAGGAGACAGACAGCAGCAGGGTTTCCACGAAATGCTTTTGCTGTGAAGGCGTCTGCTATGAAAATAGGGAGCTTCATTTTCCTTGCCGGCTGTCTCTGCAGGCTCTCACAAACGCTGGTAATCTTGTTGTTGCAAAAAAAAAAAAAATCAGAGAGTTAATGTTTTACTTGGTGTACAGAAGCAACTCACAATTCCCAGATACAAAGTCAAGCAATTATTCTAACACACCTACATTTAAAGATAGGTGATCCCTAATTTTTTAAGCCTCTAAAATGAATAGAACATTTTCTTTTCAAATTTTGTATTAGCATTTCATACTGTCCATATACTTAACAACATCATCATATTCTTTCTTAAAGCAGCCAAAGCTAGCTTAGACTATGTTTTTGATGAAGGGAATGAAACATCCAAGGGGCACATATGTGTTTATAGTCACCCAATGAATGTTACTACCCTTTGAAAAGAATGTATTTTTTTCTAATTATAAAAATATGCTCATTATAAAAAAACAACTTAGCAAATTAAAGTGACCCATCACCATGGAACAACATTTCTTTTTATTTTTGGACTTAGTATAATCAAAGAAGCCTAATGCTTTAATTAATTTTGTGTTATTTTATTAAATCTGTAGATTGGAGACTTTTGTGAGCTCATGATACAGATTAGTTAAAGCTTTTCATTAAAAGAATAATACTTTCTTTTTACTACAAATCTATCAAATACAGAAAAAGGGGGGGGGGAGGGAAAGAATATCCTGTACTTCCACTGCCTAGAGATGAACTCTATTAATATTCTGGATGTTTCCTTTGCTTTACTAGAAACATGGGCTTTGTCATAGTAATGGAGGGATTTCTCCCTCCCAAAGTTATAGTACTTTTTGAAGATTCAGCAAATTAGAGGGTGCTTTGCTTACACCTGAAAGAAAATGACCCATCTAACATGAATTTCTTGTTTTCAAGGAGAACATAAACAACCTGGGAAGCCCTGCTGGCTGCCCGAACCAGGCCTCAGCCCCCTTGGCAGCTCCCAGACCCACAGGTATTTCTGTTTCTTTATTTTTTGAGAATTTTCCATAAGAGTTTATTTGAGCCGAAACCGGTTTGGCTCAGTGGATAGAGCGTCGGCCTGCGGACTGAAAGGTCCCAGGTTTGATTCCGGTCAAGGGCATGTACCTGGGTTGCGGGCACATCCCCAGTAGGAGATGTGCAGGAGGCAGTGGGTCGATGTTTCTCTCTCATCGATGTTTCTAACTCTCTGTCTCTCTCCCTTCCTCTCTGTGAAAAATCAATAAAATATATTTAAAAAAAAAAAAAAGAGTTTATTTGAATCAAACTGACAACAAACTGACCCCCTTCATTAACTTTAATAAGTTTGTACCTTTTGACCCCAAGCAATAACATTAACATTTTAGACACTGATTTTAATCAGAATTTTTACCCTTGAAAATAAATATTTTTCAAGGGAAATACTCTAGATACACTAAATGCTTCAGAAACATCATTTAAATAGATTTACAATAGTCTGGATATGTGCCGGAAGCCAGACCACCCTTGCTGCTTGACACAGTCGCTATGGGGAAGAAACATCTGCACAGCTTATGATTCAAGTAACCTTTGGGATAGAATGGATAGGATTAAGATCAACTGGTATAAATACAGATGTAGCAGGAGAAATAAACACAGAACCTGGCTGGAGATCCTGGCTTAGAGAATCTGGCTAGACTGCTGATCAACTGAACACTATCTCCATGTCATTCCTTCTTCGGCCCACTCCGTCCACACCTTTGGGATCCCCTGGACCTGCTGGGGTTGGACCCCAACAATTGGCGCCCAACGTGCGGCACGAACCCCCAGCCCTGAGATTAAGAGTCTCATGCTCTACCGTTGATAGCTGTTTACTACTTGGAATCAGGGAAGTGCCCGGAGTCCTGCCGCTGCCATGAACATGTCGGCCCCCAGCTCACTCATGAAACAGCCGCCCATTCAGTCCACGGCCGGGGCCTTCCCGGTCCGCAATGAGCAAGGTGAGATTTCGATGGAGAAAGTGAAATGTTATATGTCTGGAAAGAGGCCAGACTTTGCCCCTATGGAGTCCTCAGATGAGGAGGAGGAAGAATTTCAGTTCATTAAGAAAGACAAAGCCTCAGCGCCCACGTGGCTGTGTGGACTGCCGCTGGCTCCGCGGCAGGCGGCGGCGATGGAGCGCCCGGGGCCCAGCGAAGGTGCTGAGACGTCGGGACCGGACCCGCAGCTGGCGGTCACCATGGGCTTCACGGGGTTCGGGAAAAAAGCTCGTACATTTGATTTGGAAGCAATGTTTGAACAGACTCGAAGAACAGCTGTGGAAAGAAGTCGGAAAACACTGGAGGCAACAGAAAAAGAGGAAGAAATGAACAGAGAGAAAGAATTAAGAAGGCAAAATGAAGATATTGAACCTACATCTTCAGGCTCAAATGTGGTCAGAGATTGCTCTAAATCATCTTCCAGGTGCTTGACTTTCTCAAAAGGATTCTGTTTAACGATCATTTTCTAAGTGTTCATAACACAAGTTAGGCAAGGTTCCTGATATTATTATTATTATTTTTTGAAGGCTTCTGCTGTTGATCGTATGGAGCAAACTGTTGGTGGTTTACCTCCACCTCTTCAAGAGGAAGATGGTGATGATGATGATGATGATGATGATGATGATGATGATGATGGTGGTGGTGGTGGTGATTCAGAAGAGGAAAATCCTGTTCAAAAGATCCCTGATTCTCATGAAATAACACTAAAGCATGGCACTAAAACAGTTTCTGCTTTGGGTCTGGACCCCTCAGGTGCCCGCTTGGTGACAGGAGGATACGACTATGATGTTAGGTTTTGGGATTTTGCTGGAATGGACGCTTCTTTTAAGGCCTTTCGATCCCTTCAAACCTGTGAATGCCATCAGATCAAGTCATTGCAGTATAGTAACACAGGAGACATGATTCTTGTATCCGGAAGCTCTCAAGCCAAAGTGATTGACAGAAATGGTTTTGAAGTAATGGAATGTATAAAAGGAGACCAGTATATTGTGGACATGGCCAACACCAAGGGTCACACAGCAATGCTTCATACTGGCTCATGGCATCCCAAAAGAAAGGGAGAATTTATGACTTGCTCAAATGATGCGACTGTGAGGACATGGGAAGTTGAAAATCCAAAGACACAACAAAGTGTGTTTAAACCACGTACAATGCAGGGTAAAAAAGTGATTCCCACCACGTGCGCATACAGTAGAGATGGAAAACTCATAACAGCTGCCTGCCAGAACGGAAGCATACAGATCTGGGACCGGAACCTGACGGTTCATCCTAAATTCCACTACAAACAGGCTCATGACCCGGGTACAGACACTTCTTGTGTGGCTTTTTCCTGTAATGGTACTGTCCTTGCCTCTCGTGGAGGTGATGATTCATTAAAATTACGGGACATCCGACAGTTTAATAAGCCACTTTTTTCAGCCTCGGGTCTTCCCACCATGTTTCCAATGACTGACGAGACCCTGCCCCAGGACCACATCCTCACCCCTCACGCCTTGTCGCTGTTCCGTGAGCCCCGCCAGCGGAGCACCAGGAAGCCGCTGGAGGACAGACTGGACCCCCTGTGGCGGGCCCAGGTCGTGGCGGCCGGGTGGGAACCCACGGCGGCACCCTGTCCTCATACATCCTGAAGAACATTGCTTGGGTAAGACGGATGACAGCAGTCCCCGGGAGGCTGTCCTGCGCCATGCCAAGGCCGCGGCGGACAGCCCGTACTGGGTTTCTCCGGCCTCTTTCAAGACTCAGCCCAGAGCCATGTTTGCACAAGTTGAATCTGATGATGAGGAAGCACAGAATGAGCCAGAATGGAAAAAATGTAAAATCTGAAGCATCTCATATGAGAGCTGTTTGCATGAGAGGGAGCATATTGAGCAGGTGGTGTTGTTTTTAATGCAATGAAAAATACATTTTTTTGAACAAAACAAAACAAAAAAAGAAAGAAAGAAAACCAAAGAACAAGAAGCAGAGCCTGAGGAACAGGAGGGGGGGTTCATCTAGCGACCCCCAACGACGGCGTTTGCAGAACCGTATCAGTGAAGATGTGGAAGAGAGATTGGCTCGACATCGGAAAATAGCGGAACCTGAAGTCGCAGGAGAAAGTGACGCAGAAGTAGAAGGAGACGCTTGGCGCCTGGAACGAGAAGACAGCAGTGAGGAGGAAGAGGAAGAAATGGAAGAT